TTCTGCTTCACATGATGATAATGCCACTACTGGTTCCTTTCTTGAATTCCAAGCAATTGGTGAACCACCTAGCATAAACACATATCCTGCTGTTGACTTTCGATCTTCAGCATCACTACACCAACTCGAATCAGTGTATCCCACTAACTTGCATTCTTTTCCTTTATCAACTGCAGGAAATAAAATGCCATAATCGAAAGTTCCTTTGAGATACCTTAGTATCCTCTTCACTGCTGCTAGATGTGATACCTTTGGCTTATGCATGAATCTACTTACCATACCTACACTGTATGCTAAGTCAGACCTTGTATGACAAAGGTATCTCAATGATCCAATAAGTCTTCTGTATTGGGTTGGATCAACATCATCTTCATCTGCATCTTTCGACAGTTGTAGTCTTGGTTCTGCAGGTGTCGAAGTTGAGTTGCATTCTTCCATCTCAAACCTCTTGAGAATTTCTCTTGCATATTTTCTTTGATGCATCATCAAACCTCTACTGCTCTTGTAGAATTCGATACCAAGGAAGTATGAAATCTCACCCAAATCAGACATTTCAAATTCCTTGCTGAGATCACCTTTGAAGTCTTCGATCTCACTCTTGCAGCTACCTGTTATCAACAAATCATCTACATAGAGACATAGTATAAGCAATTTACTCTTGCTTCTTCTTACATATACTCCATGTTCAGTTATGCACTTCACAAATTCCTTATCCCTTAGAAAACTATCAATTTTCTTATTCCAAGCCCTTGGAGCTTGTTTCAATCCATACAGGGCTTTATGTAGCCTGTACACCTTTCTTTCTTCGTCATGTTTCACAAACCCAACTGGTTGTTTAACATAGACTTCTTCATCTAAGGGTCCATTTAGGAATGCACACTTCACGTCCATCTGACATATGTGCCAACTGTTTATTTCTGCTAGACCAACAACCAACCTGATTGTTTCGATCCTAGCAACAGGTGCAAAAACTTTGTCGAAGTCTATTCCTTCTTTCTGTAGAAATCCTTTCGCCACAAGTCTTGCTTTGTGTCGAGTTACTTCACCTTTCGAATTCGTTTTCACTTTGTATACCCACTTGACATCAATTGCCTTCTTGCCTTGAGGCAATTCGACAAGTGACCAAGTGTTGTTGTCTTCGATAGACTTTACTTCTTCGTTCATTGCTTTCACCCACTTCGAATTTTTTAATGCTTCAGCTGCATTAACAGGTTCGACATCTGCATAGAAAGCATAATGTACCAGCTCACCTTCATTATCTATTACATCATCTGATGTAATCACACAATCATGCAATCTTACAGGCATGCGTCTTGTTCTTTGAGGTCTGCTTGTACTTGGTATATCTGCTGGTTCCTCTTGTCGAACTTCTCTTTCGACTTGAGTTTCTGGCTCTTCGAATAGGATTCCCACTGAATATTTCTTGACATTTGCAGTCCAATCCCATTCTTTAAACTCATCTATGATCACGTCCCTGCTGATCACAATCTTCTTGTTCTCTGGATCGAACAACTTGTAGCCTTCTGTCGAATGATATCCAACTAGGATCATTTGACTTGACTTGTCATCAAGTTTTCTTCTCAACTGATCTGGCACATGTCTATGTGCAATAGATCCAAATACCTTCAGATGACTCAAGCTAGGCTTCACACCAGACCAACATTCTTCTGGAGTAATTCCTTCTAGCTTCTTTGTAGGACATCTGTTCAAAATGTATGTTGCAGTCGAAACAGCTTCACCCCAAAACTCTTTAGGTAAATTCTTGCCTTTCAACATACTTCTCACCATATAGGGTGGCACCACCTCATGCACAATCCCTTCCTTTTCACATAATCTGTCGAAGTCTTTCGACACATATTCTCCTCCACCATCAGTTCTCAAAACTTTGAGCTTTCGACCACTTTGTCTTTCGACCATAGACTTAAACCTGGTAAATACTTCGATCATTTCACTTTTCTTCTTGATCAGGTAAGTCCATAACTTTCGACTGAAATCATCTATGAATGTAACAAATTATTTGTTACCTCCCATCGAATCCACCTGGATTGGTCCACATACATCAGAGTATATGACTTCAAGACTAGCCTTCGATCTGCTTCCTGCATCCTTGCTGAAGCTATTCTTGTGTTGCTTCGCCTGCACACATTCTTCGCATACTTCGTTTGGAATGTCAATTTCAGGCAATCCTGAAACCATATTTCTTCTTTTCAAATCTCTGATGTCTCTGAAGTTGAGATGACCTAGTCTATAATGCCATATCCATTCATCTCTGCTAGCTGCAGTCGAAAGACACTTGTGCTCCATCACATTTGCATCAACGACTCTCATCAACTTATCTTCGATTGACACTTTATAATTCTTTTCGACCAACTGCCCTATACTGAGCAAATTGCTCTTCATGCCTGGTATGTACAATACATTTGAAATTATTGACTTCTTGCCATCTTTCCTCATGATCATAACATCACCAATACCTTCAGCTGCTAGGGTATTGTCATTTGCAAATTTTATCATATTTTTCGTTGAGGGTTTTATGTTGACGAACCAGTCTTTCCTTCCAGACATATGTGATGAACATCCTGAATCCAAGTACCATTGGTCCTTGAATCTATCTTCATCTTTTGTTGTGACCATCAACATCATCTCTTCTTCTTCTTCATGTTTTGCAAGCTTTGCATCACTTTCTTGATTCTTTCGTTTTTCTGGACAATCACTCAAATAGTGACCATACTTCTGACAATTGTAACATTGAATGTGACTCTTATCAGGTTTTCGACCACCACCTCTTCCTCTATTTGCAGCACCACCTCTTTGGTTGCCTTGGTATGGTCTTCTTTGATTCGACACGTCTCCTTCGATTTGGTTTCTTCTACCATTCGATTTGTTGTAGCCACCTCTACCTCTGTCGAAACACTTTCCTTTGCCTTTGGTCTCTTTTGCTGCATGTGCCTGCAAGGCCACATCACTCTTCGATTTTCCTGCAGCTCTTTCGTTCATTCTTTGTTCATGAGATTCGAGCGTCCCTTGAAGCTCTTCCTTTGTCAATTTCGACAAGTCTTTTCCTTCTTCTATCGCCACCATTATGTGGTCGAACTTAGGAGCTAAAGATCTCAAGATCTTCGACACAACAACTCTTGTTGTTAACGCTTCTCCACATATCTTGATTTGATTTACTAGTTTTGTAACTCTAGTGAAGAAATCAGATATGTTTTCACTGTCTTCCATCTGAAGCAGTTCATAGGTCCTTTTGTGAGTTTGTAACCTCACTTCTTTCACCTTCTCAGCGCCTCCAAAAGACTTCTCAAGGATCTCCCAAGCTTCTTTTGCAGATTCTGAATCACTAATCTTTTCGAAGTTGTCCGGGCTGACACATTGATGAATTATAAATAATGCTTTATAACTCAGCTTCTCAGATTCTATGTATTTCTTCTTTTCTTCTTCTGAAGCGTTTTCGCCAAGCGCTTCGACTCTATCTTTTACAAGGTCCCAAAGACCTTGACACCTTAATAGGACTTTCATCTGTTTGCACCAATTCTCATAGTTGTCAACTTTCAGAATTGGCAGCGTTGCTGGATAGTTTGCATTCCCATAACTTGTCATCGTGAATTCTTCAATCGTTCTTGATTGACACTTCCCTTGAATCGAAACAAAAGCTCTTGATACCAGATGTTGGAAATCCACCTAATACTATGATGAATTTCGACCACAGTGATGATTAGTTATGAGAAAAAACAAATAATAGAAGACAAGATAAATATTTCTGCAGAGTTTCTCTCTGCCCACAAACTGTGGAAAAACTTTCTTAATCACTTGCAACTGCAAATTCTGTGATTACAATGAATTGTCTTGCTTGACTTTCTTTTCTTGTTTACAACAAATAGGGGTTACTCCCTCTATTTATAACTGAGCTTACACCCTAAGCCCAAGACTCAAAATATCATTTTGTTACTAAATCAAATCTAATCTAATCTATTCTAGATTTAAACCAAATCTATTTAAATCTAAAACAAATCAAATCTTCTTTGACACATATGAATTACAATTTAACAAACTGTCCCGAAAGAATAGGTGTTGTATCTGTGATTTCCGAAAGACAATTATGATGACGATGATGCAGACACATGGGTCACATTCTCCAATGGACACGTGGGGAGTTGCCTAACGATCTCCAACTTGAACTACTTGTCTTTAGACCTTATACAAGGGTGTTGGATTGGGCCTCCCCTACGGTGGAGCTAGCGCTGACCCAATCCAGATTAATACCCATAAGTAAAAGGGTAACAAAACATCCGTTTATTTTATTCGTAGATACCCATTAAATCATGATACTCATACTCGTGACAGATTTTATCTCCGGATATCATAAAAATTATTAGGCTTCTTTTTATTGGAATTTTCAGGAATCTTGTTATTATGTTTGTTGCTGTTTGGGAATACTTCATTATTGTGATTATTAGAACAAGTTATGATATTTCATTTATGGTGATCTCTACAAAATTTGAACTTTAATGCAGTAACCACAACCGACATTCACTAAATTTGCCAATTGCATCATAATTTGTGTATTTCTTTGCGAAATTAAGGCTTGATTCCGGAAAGGTACTTGTTATGTGCAGTTCCAATGCTTATGGATATCATGTTGGAATTATTTATGAGAGAAACTTTTTGAGCATTATACAATTATGGAAAAATGGTGATCTTATTGCGAGTTTGTGTTATCAATTTTTGTTTATTATATGACCTCATTTCTCATTGGAATCATGAAACTTTATTTTTATATGAACATAAAGTTGTGTTGCTTGCTCTACTATTTATTTAACTTCTTCATTAGCTTTTTTTTATTTATTTAAAATTGAATCAACTAATTCTGATTTATATAATAATCTGATTAATCTGATGTCAACAAAAAAAATTGTGAAAATTACATTTAAGTGTACTACGTTACACGGTGGCGTTTTCTTCTTATGAAGATAGCATTAGCGACGAAACAAGACCCTAACATGACGGAAAACGCACTTAACGGCGTCGATAACAGGCGCACACGCTCCCAAGCGGCACCGGAATGGACGGTAACGGAACAACTTATTCTCGTCAACGAAATCGCCGCGGTGGAAGCCGACTGGTCCGTTCAGCTATCGTCATACCAGCAATGGGATATCATATCGGAAAACTGCGCCGCCTTGGATGTTGATCGGAGCTTGGCTCAGTGCCGCCGGAAGTGGCAGTCGCTGTTGGCCGAGTATGACGATTTCAGAAAGAGACAGAGGTCGACAAATTTGGATCCTGAATTGTTTGGTGCTATTGAAAGAGTTGTTAAGGGGAGAGAAGAACGAGGTGAAATTGATCGTGAGAGTGATCCTGAAACGGTGAATGAGGAGGATTTTGATGCTAGTGTTGAAGTTGAAACTGGTATGATTTGTTTCTCTGTGTTGCTAGGTTAAATCTTCAATTTTTAGTATGTTGTTAATGTGTCGTTGGTTTGGCTGCTCTGAAATTTGATTTTGACTCAAATTGATTCGTCTTGAGAAATGAAAATTTGATTTTGAGTAAAATTGATTCCACTGAGAATTGACTTGAAGTTAAAATAATTGATATTTCAATATAGCTATATGAGAGGGTGTTGAACAATAAATTTGAGTGTAAGTGTAAATTATAGAATCAATTATGAATCTTCTAAAAGTAGAAGCAGCTGTGTGTCATCTGGTGTGCAAACTAATGGTATCTACTAGCTAGGTATAGAGAAAGGGAGTAGTTCCGTGATAGGATATCATTGGACTTGGGTTTTTTTCTATACTCATATCCGATATCATTGGACTTGATATGTGGATATAAATAGTGGGTGACCCGAATCATTATGTGGAACTTAGTTTTTTCATTACACCATGTCACGTCCAACACTATTGAGCTTGGTGTGGGGATACAAATGATAGATGACTCGAATCGATCCACTCGATACCATCTTAGAAATTGGGCGCAACTTAACTCAATTTTGCAATATCAGTTTGTGAAGTGAAAATTGTCACCCACTTAGAAGTTATAACTATAGGTTCAGTTGATCTTTCATCCAATGTGGATTCCTCAACACACACTCCTCACACTTAGGATTAGACATTTGGAGTGTGATCTGATAGCAAGTGCTCCAATGGATCCTTGATAGACTTTAATATCATTTTAGAATTTGGATTAAGTCTAACTCAATTTTACAAAGTCGACTTGTAAGCCAAGGAGGGGCACTTTTTATAAACTATTTTCAGACTCTATTTTAAACTATGAACTTTGGGTTTTTCTCAATATGATTTCAAATTTTATCCATTTGGGTCGCCTACAATTTGTATCCACGCTCAAAGCTCAATAGTACCGTGGACGTGAGGGGGAGTATTGGAAAAACCTATTTCTACGTACTAATTCAGGTCACCCATCATTATCCATGCTCCAAGCTCAATAGTTGGGAATGGCAGAATCTATTAGAAAAAGATTCAAGTCTCACATAGATTAAAGATACAGTATGAATAAAATTTATAAAGAATAACATTTCTTATTTTACAAACCGAGTTCTAAAAGGTTTTGCGTTGCACCTGTGCAATTGCTGCATAAGCACGTGGGTTTAACAGAAAGACTATGATATGATGCAAGAAAATATGCAACAATAGAATAGGTTGTTTTTTAGGATTTGAAAACATGACCATGTTAAAAGGCAAAGAACCTTATGCATTGGTAACAGTAATGGTAAACACTAGTATCATTGGAAAAGTATTATTTCTTCGCGTTTTAAGGTGATTAATAATTTGAAACAAATCAAAATTTTAAAAGTTACAGGATATCATGAAGGGTTTGGAGGGGCTAGGAAAACTTAGTTATTAATTTGATTTATTGTTTTAAGGTTGCTTCTTTATCTAGTGGTGTTATTTTATGCCAATTTTATTCTAGTTTTGTTACATATTGGTGCGATATTAGCTGCAATCATTATGTGTACTGCAGCTTTTTCTTTACTGCTTAAGAATTTTTGTCATAAATGTATTTTTTATGAACAAATTGTTAGGGTCTAAAAGAAAAAGACATCGAAGTAGATCTGAGAAACGCTGTGGTCATAAGTCTAAGAAAAGCCGCGATGAAGAGCCTGAGAATAATCATTTAGAAGAAGAGTATTTGAAAGACTTCTTAGGAAAGAAATCTGAGTTGAAACATTATGCAAGAAGGCGACCAAAGCTCATAAAGTCGTCTCCTTTGAAGAGCCTAGCTGAAGTAGACGAAAACCATGATATTGAAAAGCCAAAGCCGGAGGAGAGTATAGGAAACGTAACAAATAATCGTAGGGAAGAAAATGAAGAAATTTTGACTTTGAAGTTGCAAGAATTGGCGATAGAGATTCAAGAGATTAGTGGTGAATCAGCGGACTGCAAGGAAGCTAACTCAGAGAATATAGAAGATTATCATACGGAATTTACCAGACGCCAAGGGGACAAACTCATAGCAAGGCTAGGAAATTTCTCCAACACCCTTAAGCAGCTATGTGATCTTCTCCATGAGTGTAAATGAAGATTACCTTTTTGTAGTTTGATGATTATTTTTGTCATTGTTAGGGAGTGAATGCAGCAGGAGAATACTGTTTATAATTGTGATCACTTGTTAGAGAAAAAGAAAATTAGATTGTACTCAAATTTAATTGTAATTTTGATGTTACAATCTAACCTATTCAAAAAGAATAAAGGGTCATTGAAAAATTTATTTGTTGCTTCTGTTAAACTGTTAAAAACATAGAGAAAATTCACAATTATTTATGAAAACGACTTCACTGGGGATCGAACCCAGAATCTCTGGTTCCGTAGACCAGCGCCTTATCCATTGGGCCATGAAGTCCTGTTGTTTTAAATTTACCCTGCTGTAATTTTGTCTGTAAAATATTTCAATATATTGAACTGATCATTTGAAATAGGTACCAATTTCCATATAGAACAAATTGGTCATTTGTTAAACTGGTTTTGACCAGTTTGGATGACAATCAAAACCAAAACCAATTTTAGTTCAATTGTTCAAAGGCAATTTCACATCAAAATTAAAAAACCCTTTTATGCAAAATTAGATTTTAACCGGTTCAAAATTTTTTTTGAACCTAGTTCAAAACTTGCTTAAGTTGAGAGTGGGTTTGAACTTTAACAAGTCTATAAAAGGCTTGTAATTGGTTTAAGGAATCTTTTCTTTTTGAAAACTTGATTAGAACTAGTTCAATGGAATCCTAATGCAATAACTAGAGCAAAAAACACAGCATAGCCAACAATAAACATTTAAACTTCAACAAAGTTTGCATAATCATCATGCAGAAGCTTACATTCCTCTCAGAATCACTATATTTCATGCTTCAAATCTGAAATTAAAATGGATGGTACCATCATAAATTGGAATTGAGATAATCTCAGAATCACTATATTTGACTCTATATATATATTACTAGTAACATTAGATAAATCGACTGTCAATGTTACTTGACTTCAAATTAACAGATAAATCGAGCTCTACTTATTAACCTACACAATCAAAAACAATAATTAGTCAACATGGTTAGCAATGCATCCAGTTTGCATAACTAATGTCAATTGCTAACTGATATTGTATGCTAATGCTGCAAAGTTCTTCTAGAGTCTATTAACTGATTTAGATGATCTGCAGCCGCGAGATTGCCTTCTAACATTCTAATTGTGTCTTTACTCTAATTTTGAAAATGGAAACAAGTACTAGTGTTTAATACTTATTTTCCCTTGAATTGGTGGTTGCAAGTGGAAAACGAGTAAACTCACAAAATCTTCATGTTTTACAGATCTACTTATTATTTGAAGCTAGCTAAAGTTCAACAAGCTTTCATAGCTCAGTTGGTTAGAGCACCCGTTTAGTAAGCGGGAGGTCATGAGTTCAACTCTCATTGAAAGCAAATATTTTGTCTTATGTACCACGCATCACATCCTATTTACTATGTTACTGATTCGTAGGTTGAAGATATGGTGAGAATAAACTTGCAACTGTGTTGTGTGTTCTTGTCTTGATTTCTTCATTATCATGGAGAACTTCATAATGGTATCAGAGCTCTGTTGCGCATGGATCATCTTTGTTCATAATAGTTCACAGAGTTGATGCAAATGTTATTAATCATATGGTTGCAGATCCTTCCAAAATTCTTGAAAATGTATATTATGTTCATGCATCATTGTGATGAGTCTAATGTACTTATCAATGCAAGTAAGATGTGAAGATTCCATGGTGAGAATTTACCATGTATGTATATACTTTAGCATAAATGTGAGGGTTTTATTACATAACCATCTACCAGAAGAGAATAAGAAGCAAACCTTTTCTTTATATGTTCACACTTTCATTTATACCAAGTAAGTGATGCTCATGGACATTCCTAATTTATATACTTGTAGAGTATTAATTCTCTAAGAAAGCTTTAAATAGTTTACTAATCTCATACAAATTTCAAACAATATAGTTACACACAAAATGGAGACTTAGGCAGAGTTTAAATCCTAGTATTAACGGTTATTACCCATTCGTCTAAAAAAATATATACACATTTCTTTGTAATATTAAGCCAAGACAACTACCTTACTCAGAATCCAAAGCACTATAGAGAATTCAAAGGCAAAGAGAGTATGAATCAATCCTCTATCAAGTGAAAATCCATACAACGTTATGCCTCCATGGTTGTGTTGTAGATACATCACTGCAAAAATCACACACTCACTAAGAACATACACATTCTGAGACGTTATGTAACAACGTCGACACATTTAAAGACTAAAATGACCGTTTACTCGATTTTAAAGCTCACCTAATGATTGTCTTGTATGGAAGGAAGAAAGTCTTTGTGGAATTATTGATATATGAACATCTGAGGAATCAGAATCACTACTATCACTAGCTACTGCATCAGACATTTGATCTTTGCATTGTTCTGATTCAGCAAAGGCATTAGTCACCAACATGTGCCATCTTGTTGCAATTGAAACAATTCCTTGTGCTCTATGTGTGATTTTTGCAGCTCCTAAGATGCACAAGAAGAAGCCACTCAATTGCACCGCCGAACATATCTGCATAAATGATTGTCAATCACAATTAAGACTAATCTGTCTCAGATCAGAGACCAGATACATTAGTTATTCAATGAATCTGAACATTTGTACTTACCACAAGATCGCCAGAGTTGAAGAATGTCTTCTCCGACTTCGAAGCCAAAACTAGTAATAAAGAACCTAATTGACTAACACTCATTGTAACCACACAACAAATTATGAAAAACCTATACCTATGACTTATAATCCATAACTGTCTTCTAATTCTCACATGTTCTTTAAATATAACACCTGCTTCAGAACCAAACCCTTCAAAAAGCTTGTGAACACCTTCAAATCTCAATATTTGAAGCTGACAAGTTAGTCTGAAAATCACACATACCAATAAGTACACTCCTGTTCTATATAACCAAGAAATTAACATCAACACAAATACAATTGAGTGTAGTGGAAATCCAGCACTAATATTTGGTGCCGAAATCTTAACTGCTGAAAAGAAGATGATTTTATGAGCAAGCTCTAGAAAAAAAGAGGGTAAGATTATGTATCCCAAGTATCTGAATGCTTTCTGTAGCTCGCGCGCATAGCCTCGACGAACATATGTAATGTCGTCTTGTAATGCATCTAGAAATAGAAGTTGTCTTAGCCCGTACCTACAATCACAACCACAATTTAAAACCATATAAATAAATGTCGTTGTCAAAAGATTGAACACTGAACCAGTAGGTTACACCGATTTAACTCAACTAGCACATACTAGTTGAGCTACTCCACCCACCTATAATAAAGCTAATTTGTTTCCATACCTTAGGAAGAAACGGGAAAGAGCGAAGAAGGAAATTATGGCAAGTGCAGATTCTGGTATTTGAACAAGCTTGTTCAAAGAGATAGGATCATCTTGAGGGGAAGCATCAGAGACTTGAACAAAGAGTGTTGTGAAGAGAGGAAGAATGAAAGTGAGGAGGATGAAGGTTACATAAGAGATGAGTTTTCCAACACAAGATGAGTGATCAAGAGCACACCATTTAAGACATATGCGAAAGTTTCTTAGTTCATCAAAGATAATTGATTTTGATCTTGAATAGGATGGTTGAAGTAACAAAGGAACATTGTGTTGGTGTTGTTGCGCTTGTTGTTGATGATGTTCAACATTTGTGTGATTGTTTTCAGAGAAAGATACTCTTTTGGAAGATGAGTTATCAATGTCAATGGTTGTGTCATTTGTTGAAGGTTTCATGGTTGTGTTTTTTTGTTGTGAAAATGTTGTTATTTTTGTGAGTTTTAAGGAAGTTAAAGTAGTGATTGAGAAGAGATATAGAAAAGGTTGGAAGACCTTGCTTTGTCTCGTGAGTGTTCACTTTTTGGTGTATTAGATTGTTAAGTTTGAAGTAAAGAATAAAGGGAACATGAGATTATGGTTTTGTACATTTATATGTGAAACGTGTGTGTCTATCTATATACACACACAGCGATAGTTTACCTTTTCTAGTTATAGTCACGTTTTTGGATAGCTTATTTTCCATCAAATTAGTTTTTTATTTTAATTAAATTTTGAAAGTAGCTTAGATTCTGTTATCTGAAAGTTTTAGAAGTCAGGGCATTACAATGACTCAGGGAATCTAGATATTAGTCTATCAAAACAACGAGTTACATATGAGTATCGGTGATTTTATTCTATTAAATTTTTGAAGAATTGAACAGTTTAATCTCAAATTTTTTCTAAGTAAGTTTGTTGTTTGAGGACAAACAACGATTTAAATTTAGGGGTGTTTGATAAGTGATTATTGCAGCATGTTTTTAGTTTATTTTATTCTCGTTTTAAAGTGAGTTTTTATCGTTTTATTTCACTTTTAAGTGCTTTCATGTGTTTTTGTTGATTTCAGTTAATAAGGAAGTGTCAGACAAGATTGAAATAAAAAAGACAGAAAATCACCTATTCCCGAATCATCTCACTACAAAAGACCTGTGACTAACACGGTTTGATTGGGTTGGCCCTTGAAGCTCCCCCAATAGTAAATTTCTAAGAAGAATACATGCTAACAGTGTTGCTTGACACAACTGTGTTCCTCATCACGAACCCCCGTGCCAGACAACACTGTTTGTGTTAGACCTAGTTTCAATTGTGAATTTTAGCATTCCGTAATGGTTTTCCGACTTCTGACCTCTTTTCATCCATAAGTGACCATTATGATAATTACACGGATTTAAGTGGATTTTAAGTGTATTAATTGATGTATTTCATGTATATTATATGTGGTAACTTGATTGGTAGGATGAGAACCACTTTTAGATTATGGCTGGTTACGATTTCAACTTTTTAGACTTAGGGTTTTAAGTTATTTTTCTGCAACTTCAGCTGTATTTTTCAGGATTTTTTTTTTTATATTATTCAAGTATTTTATCTATAATTTATGTTATCTCATTACATTGCATTTGCTTTTGCTTTATTTATTTTTTATGCATGTTATGTTT